CTGGAGTCACTTTTTCTGGTTGGACTAGGCTTGACGTGAATATCATCAAGAATTGAAACTTCAAAGTTCCAATCTCCCAAAGACAGATCTACCTTCGCCGGAAGTTTATCCTGATTCCTCACGCAAATACGGGCCCAAAAAAGTTGAACTTTGTGCTTCCTTGCCCAAAGATGGAACATTACTTTTAGAAGGAATTTACAGGGTTGGGAGTGTGATGGCTTCCTTGCCCTATTGGCTTCAGTTGAGGCTTGAAGGTCACAACATAGAAGAGTCACAGCTAGATAGAATGTCATGGGCCAACTCAAGCAGGGGTATTTTCACAGTTAAAACATGCTATTACCATTTAAGTGCCCAGAATGGCATAATTGAAAACTAGCCTTGGAAGCTCATATGGAGAACAAGACGTCCCACCAAGGTGATGTGCTTCGCATGGATTGTCATAAACATTGCCTGTGTAACTCAAGACAATCTATGTAGAAGAAGCATCCCACTGGTCATGTGTTATGTGTGTCATCAGAATCTGGAGTCCATCAGTCACCTCTTTCTTCACTGCCCTAGTTGCAGCAGAGTTGTGGATTTTTTTCTCTTTTTTTGGACTGAATTGGGTGCAACCCCAGTCTCCAACAGAAGTCTATGTATACTGGAACTGTTGCAGAGTGGACAAAGCCATCAAGAAAATCTGGAGAATGACCGCAACTACTATCTTTTGGTGTATTTGGAACGAAAGGAACTGCAGATATTTTGATGGAATCTCAACTCCAGCTCACACTTTGAAGGGCTCATGTTTAGTTAATCTATACAGTTGGAATTTCCTCAAACCCGTACAATGGCCAGTTAATTTTTTGGATTTTGTTGGCTCCCTGATCTTTTAACTGATCTTTTTGTATTTTGGAGCTGACATTATCATCTCTTTTTACTTATTTTGCATCTTCTTGATGCCATTTAATGATTACTTACTTCATCAGGAAAAAGGTATATAGAACATATGTATATAGAATATTCTCCTACTCAGAACATATTATGACATAGATAATTCTAAAATGTGAATGTACTGAATTCTTGATTATATGCAAGTCTAAGTATGAACACAAGAATTTGAACCCAAGCATTGAATGGGAAAGTTCAAATTAACATCCAGTGAACCCACCTCCTTGGTTGTCTAACTGCTTCATTTGGAGGGGAAAAGTTCATTAAAATGTTGTAGCATTTACTTGATTGTTAATCTAGTGCTTGGATCTGAAGTCACAAGTTCATAATTGATTGGTTCCTCGTCTTGATAGATTTCCAGGTTTCCTTATATATTGTCCTTACTAAAAAGAGTTGTGGTTGCTCGTGGGACGTTGGTCTAGTGGTAAGAGCACAATACGTGATATGTGGGTTAGGCGCACGGAACTAGTTTGAATCTTACCGCTGACAAAAAACTTGGTGTTTAAATAGAGAAGGGTATAGTGATAGGCCCATTATCCATCGAGTTATGAACCATGTGCCAATGGCTCTTGGAGATTTTTGGTAATTAAAAAAGATAATGAATAGAGTTGTGGATGAGATTTAGACATAATATGTAATTAAATACATAATAGGGGTTTAGAAGAAAATGAGAACTAGAGCTTAGAAAGTAGTGCCTTTAGCATAGAGATGGACAATTTGATTTGAACGCAGTATGAGAGATTTTGAAGGGGGGTCATTTTTACAAATTAGGGGATGTTTTCTATTTCTTAAATATTTTGTACTCATGAGATTCCGGTTACCATTGATGATTTGGTTAGATTCGTTGAGAATCATCTTCTTTTTCAGTTAGGCGTTTTTGCTTTTTGTATACGAGATATTGCTCCAATATATCACTACAATTATTACTTAATCAGAGAAAAGTAATAGTTGTTGTTCTCTATACACAAATCATCCTTCTAACGTTCTCTGTCTGTCTGGTTAAGATCTACACTAATATGTCTTATAACTGTCTCATCACTGATACAAACTTTAATTGGCTACTTTTTAAATTGCTCCCCCTCCACTTTGTCGAGCCTCTAGAAGTAGATTTGTGATTTATTAAAAAAATGCTTTATCTGATAGCTAAGGTAAAAGACCTCTTGCACATGCATATAATATAGACTCTTCTTGCTTCTTTATTTCCTAGAGATTATTTTCCACCAAAATGTCATTTTGGTGTTATTGCAAATTGCTTCTTCATGACTGATCAAATGCCTTTATCCATTTGTCATTTGAGATTTTTGTTTGGTTACAACTAACATGGTTACTAGTTGAAGTCAAGACTGCCAGAGCCAGTTGAACTTCAGTAGATCCCACCCCGTTGAATGAGCTGTGTTTGATTATCATCTCATAATAGATCAAAATTGGTACTTCAGCTGTTTATGAGCAGTTTCTATGCAAATAATGTTAACTTGATTCATTCTGTAGTTCATTACAGTCTAATTATAGGGCCTATAGATTACCGTCTTAGCTCCATATTGTAAATGGTCCTTCTTGTTTGATAGATACCATTTATTCTTGGTGTTCTTATTGGTTGTTTGTTTAGAAATTTTCCACTTATACTTTGTTTTTTCTTAGAAAAAAAGAAGTAAATATCACTTGTTACTATAAGCACAATACTCTAATCTTATACGGACCATCTGCGGGGG